GAAAGTTTCTGAAGAGAAAAAAAAAAAATAATCAATGGGAATTTGTGTGTGGAAATTCAACAATTATCAAATGGAACTTTACTTGGCATCCCCATAACTGCATTAACCAAAATAAATGTAATTGAGTTTTATGATTGAAGGGGGAAATAGTATGGATCAGTGGACTATCTGTTAAAGATACACGCTATGAAACGTAAGCAGTGAAAGTAGTTTCCGGTTGGAAAACAGCTTTTCATATCGAATGAATTAGTTTGTGTTATCAATGGCGGATGGAAGAAAATGACGGCAGGCCAAAATTCCCCCATGAAGGCCTATGGCACCGTCATAACAGCCGTCCTTCACAAAATATAGCATGACGGTTTGGCAGAAATTCGCCATGGCCACCATTTGATAGCACTGATTAGTTTTAGTAAGTATTGAATTGTGGGATTTAATGGATTGGACACGTGATGTCGAATCTGATTGGTATAATACACGTGTAGAAAAATGTGTGTTTTATGGTGGATATGTTTTTTGGAAAATATTTCATTGGTAGTGTTCAATGTATAGAATGAGTGCTTTAGAATCTGATTATTTTAATACGAAATGTTGCAACTCATGTAGCGTAGCAAAAATAGTTGAAAAAGTGAGTTATATGGAAAGTTTATTAAAGTTAATGGGCCGAGTTATGACAAAAGTGGCCTTCATTGGATCATGTCGATTTTTGCTTATTGTATTGACTCATCATAGATTCATAGTAATCATTGTTTTTGTATTGACTCATCATAGTTAAGTTTTGACTTGTAGACCCACTTAGCTCCTATACTTTGTTTGGTCAAAGGTTTTTGGCAAGGCTCATTCTTCTTGATCATTATATTGTCTCCACCACCAATATTACACCCAAACATCATGATTAGTAGGCACGTCATCTATATTTGTCCCACAATTGTGAATCCATGTAACTATCGATGATTTCTTACTGATATTCTTCCTTTGTGTCAAAGTTTGTGATTGTATCAGGCCTTCTAATTGTTGCTCATTTTTATGCCTTTTGCACGTGGTCTATTTGTTCTTAATGTTGTTTAATCAGTGTAGGAAGATAGATATTTATTCTCAAATGGTAAGCAACATTATCAGTAAATTCGGATTTCACATATATTTTCTTTTCCAAGTGTGGCCTTATTGGTTTTATGTAGTGATCATTGATCAGTTTTTCTCTCATTGTCGATTTTAAACTTCTAAAAAACTTCAAAGACTTGTAAAGGTGCAGTATTTTCTAGAAATGCAAACTACAATTGGTTTCCTCACCTCCTTTTACTTTTGAAAGATCTTTGTTTTTAAATTTTTTTATTTTTCTTTTTCTCATTGTACTCGATTTTCTCCATGAAGACCGATCATAGATGGTAATTCATATGCNCCGTGCAATTTTCTCGGCGGTATACCGTTAAAGAACTTCAAGATCGCTGGTACTCACTCCTTTATGATCCAGTGGTTTCCACAGAAGCTGCCCCTCATATGCTAGAGGTCATGCGTTCTGAATTTTCGCCACAACCGAGATCCAACAAATCGGAAGCTGTAAAAGAAGCAGCCCTCACCTCAGGGAAGAGAAAAAAAGCCGAGAATATCCGAAAATGTTACTACGCCATGTGTAAAAGAATCTGTAACGTGCCTCTCGACATCATGGGCATCGATCTCCTCCCCGGCTCGAGCGCTACCAATTTCGGAGACGAAAACGGGCTCGGAATCCAAGACCCGGACTTCGATATCGGGCCTCATCTCTTTCCCGAATTCGGGCCCAACTCCTCCAATGATCTTCAGTTCGGCGGGCAAGTTGCCGCCCATGACCTTCCCCCGTTCACTTACGAGGACAGCACTCTCCCAGAATTCAACCAGTCGGATCTATTTGGGCCCGAGGCCCATCTGGAAGGGCCCGGATTCGGAGCATGTGACAGCGGGCCGTATCGTAATTTGGCGTGCTCATCCTCCACGATGCCTCAAATGTCGATGTGGGACGACAGTACTTCCCCGGATATGTGTGCCCCTTCTGACCAACTCATGGCCAGGGACGAATTCGTAATTCCGCCGTCATGTAATGTTAATGTGACAGACAGCTATTTGGCTGAGCTGTCCAATACATTGTTCTCCGATGACCTGCACTGCTCGGATAGTAGCCCGAAGGACGGCATCGACGCATCTTATCTCGAAGGGCTTTCCTCGCTTTTGACGTTCGATGCTTCCCCAAGTCAGATCGAGTTGGATGGCACAGCTGGCGGGCCTCATTTACTATGCGAGGAGCCCGATAAAGCTGCTAGCCCAATTCGCGCAAGTAAAGAACTTGGGCCCGAATACACAAACGGGGTCATCTGCTGCACGTTGAATACTGAAGACCCGAATATACCCGACAATGATGATGTGTTCCTTCCTGTTCGTTTGCCTTCGCCGAGTTTTACACCAAGTGGGTTTCACTGGAAATTTGAAGATCCAATTTTTACTAAGGACTTGACTAATGTTGCACGAAAGGTAAAAGTGAAAGTTGGGCCACCGGCCATGAAAAACAACGGTCAAAAGGATCCTTGTGGGCCCTCACGCATTGAAGTGGCGACTGGGCCGCTGGATAAGGGTTCGATATATTCGGTTGCAGATAAAGGGGTGAAATTTGAGCTGCCCAAGAGTAATATTCAGCAGGCTGTGCTCAGGAATGTGAGAAAAGGTGAGGGTTATTCGAGCCGTGCAAGTTCGGCGAACACTAATGAAAATTGTACTGCTAAGGAGAGTTCAGTGGATGTGGATCAGGGAAAGAAAGTCGATTGTGAGCACATTGAGATTTGTTTGGATAAGCGTGAGCATGGTGTGGACATTCTTGAAAGCCTTGAGAAGAGTGATAATGTGAAAGCGGAAACTTCAAATGTTGGGTTGGTGGATGACGAGCCAAGCTGCCGAAAGACAATTGCTTTGCCGATTGACGAGTCTCTAGTATTGGATATGGAAGAGTGGTCGGAAAACGATGTGCCTTGTTTTTCTGATGTTGAAGCAATGGTTAGAAAAAAGCTCGAGTGTTTCTAAATATGAAGCTTTTTTACTTTGTGTTTCCTTTTTTTTTTTTTTNTGCATTAATTTCCATTATTTGCTTTATGGCATCTTCCAGATTCTGGATATGGACTTGAGCCCGGACCTGTATACAAATCCAGAAGGTAGTTCTCTATTTTCCAAGAATCTGTGATTTATATGCGTTGGACTAATGTGTGTGGTTTATTACACAAAGTTGTAGCCTCTTTTGAACACTGGATTTCTTGAAGGTGTTAGAATTACTCTGTTGAACCTCATTGATGTTAGGGAAGGTAGATTTTTTTTAACCAGATAATCCCAAGGGGTGATTTGTGATTATTTCAAAATTTGGCGTGCTATTTTAAAGTTCACAAGTTGATTTTTATTGCAGATGACTTCTCTTATATCTCTTGTAGAAAGTTGATATCTCTATTGTCTTGGTTGGTAATGCTGCTGCATGCATGTCAAACCATGGATTTTGGAATGTTTGCAAACACTAAAATAAAAGTTATTTTTAATATTTTTCAGAAACACTCCTGTTGTGTCTCCTTTGCTCTCTGTTAAATAACTACTGGTGATTTCAGTTTATCAATTGTTTATAGAATTTTCAAGAATCATCAATCTTGTTATAAGTCTAATGAAAAACAAATAAATTGCAGTTCAACGATATATGCTCGAAGAATCTAAAAAAGCAATCATGAGACTTGAGCAATCAGCCGACTCTTGTACTCAGAGAACATTTGCTAGACAAGGCGCATTTGCTGTTCTCTACGGCCGCTGGTCAAAGCATTTCATAAAGAAGCCTGAGGTACTTAATTTTCTTGCTACCTCTGGAAATTTATCTATAAATTTTTGGCATCAGCTAGCTGTGTCAACCTACGCAACTTTCAGATAAGAGTAATAATATCAAGATAAAGAACGAAATGTTTTCGTTTCATGTAAAATTATGAGTAGCTGTCTCAACCTACGCAAATTTCATCAGATAAGAGTAATAATATCAAGTTAAAGAACGAAATGTTTTCGTTTCATGTAAAATTTTGGTGATATATTATCTAGTATACATTTTATTCAGTTGCAACTCAGAGATTCTTAATGTCTTGCCCTTCAAATTCAGATAGATTATGATTTTTGTCTTGAAAAGTTTTTCACTGAAAAAGTTTGGCGATATATTTTGCACCGAGCCTATAGTGGAAGTTTTAGTTTTTAGGTTGAACATTTTTATTACAGAAGCTATAGAGGTTTGTGGGAGCGATTTCTCGAAATAAATAGCTTCTTTGTTTAATTGAATGCCAGTTCTTGTATATGAAGATCTGTACAAATCTTGCCACCGATAATTGTTCTGTTGTGTGGGAAATGACAAATTGTAGTAGAGCAAGAAATAGATCTTTTGAGCTAAAATATAATTGAAGACATGTAAATACTTTGCTCTTGTTATTGAAAGAAATTATTATTATGGCTTTCAGGTGATACTCGGCAGGTCAACTGAAGAAAGTAAAGTTGACATCGACTTGGGAAGAGAAAAAAATGGTGGAAAAATTTCTCGAAGACAGGTATGTCGATCACAATAAATTTACAGAACATGAAAAATGTAATGGAGTATTAGAATGTATCATTTCAAAGCCATTTGAAATCACAGATGTATGGGGAATTCTTTGACAAGGTTATATTTAGTGTATCATGTAGCTGTGATTCTCGGAAAAACTACATTTATCATTCTTTATTTATATTTTTTCATCTGCTTTCGACTACCATGGAATTTCGATAGTTGGTTTAAATTTTGATAATAGTAGTTTTTTTTTTCATAATATTACTCCATACCTTCATACTTAATTATTATTATTATTCCTTTTTTATATTTTGCATTGATTGATTAGGCTATTATAAAGATGGACATGCATGGGACTTTCCAATTGATCAACGTGGGAAAATCTTGGGTTTACGTGAATGGCAAAGAGGTGTTGCCTTGCCAGAGTTTAAGCCTTACCTCTGGCTGTCTTATCGAGGTACTATGTAACGACTTTGCTTATTATTTGAATAATTATTCTATCCAAAATGTTTTGAAGTCTGCGTATACATTTGCACTCTCGTTTGGATTAAATTTCAAAAGTATTCCTTGAAGTTTAGCCTAAATACAAAAGAATACTCCTTATATTTTATTTCACTTGATACTCCTTAAGCTGAAAGAAGCTTTCCCAAATTCTTGCTTACAGAAAGCAAAAAACAACCATGCATGACTGCTGAATTTTATAAGTTAGTAACACATTACACATATCATATGAGATTCTGTAATATGTTCTTTTTTTTTTTTTAGTTTGAGTAATAGATTGAAACATGAGGCTTTTGCCTTAAATATTACGGTTTTCTAATGATGGCCTTAATGCATGAATTTGTAAATCAGAAACACAATATCATATGAGTTTATGTAATATGTTTTTTAATAAATTGAAACGCAAATTACTGCCTTAAATTTTACGATTTGCTCTATCTTTACTGTCAGGTGAGGGGATTGGCATTTATTTTCGAGACAAGTCGTGCGAACATAAACATTTACTTGAACAGCATTGTGGGATCGAACTTGAAAGGAAGTTGAACGAGCTCCGTCGTGTGTGAGTTCAGGAAAGGTGCCATTTTTAGCCTGCCACTTTCCTGAACAAGCTATGTAACCACTAGATGTATAAAGAAAACAACATTTGTGTTTCCCCTAACTACATTTCTTTTCTCTTAACTACCCTTTTTTTTTCTCTTTTTATTTTTTGGTAGGACTACATGTTGTTTAACTCCTTAACTTATTTGTTGGTTTAATTAGAGGATTTTACATTTTTTTTAGTCTGTTGATATAGAAGATAATAGTGTCTTATAGGTCAAGGTGCACTTTGATTTCATAAAGTATCGGCAAATTGCAGAAGCCATTTGCAGTTATATGGTGTGTACTTTAATTTTGTGTATAAAAGTATTGTGTACTTTTATTTCACTTTTAATTTTAAGAATAAATTTATTTCTACATATGTAATGTAGTATATTTGATGATTTGCAAGGAACATGTACCAATGAGTAGGAAATTTTTCATCATTTATAATCACATGACATAATTTGGATGAAGGAATGACTAACAATGGGAGTTGAAAATGTTAGATCTATTTTAGGATTAAATATGTATAATTGATACATTGGGTTATTACGTGGTTTAGTCAAATTAAGTGATCAAATTATTGTATCGATATATTTGCTAATGAACTTAAATTGTGAAATGATTAAATACATGAAATTTATAAGCTAACCAAATAAGATATAAGTTTGTTTATTTGTCTATCAAATATAGTCTATGTTTGGTAAATCTAGCTTATAGTTTTTAAGTGAATTTTGAATTTATAGTTGATAGCTTATAGCAAAAAACTAGTTTATATGATAAAAGTGTGGTAAAATTAGCTGATAAGTTAACTGAAATAAAAATTTCAATGACTTATTTGAAAATTAAATTTAATTGAAAGCTTATAAACTAATCAAATAAATTATAAGGAACGTCGGTTTTGCTATGAAGCCAACAATTGGCTCCATAGTGGAGTCAACCTTCTATATACAACAAGTAAACCTACCATATTAATAAAATTATATTAATGTTACTTAAGTAATCAGATAATATGATAGGTTTATTTGTTGTATATAGAAGGTTGACTCTACTATGGAGCCAACTGTTGGCTTCATAGCAAAATCGGAAGTAACGTATATTCTTACCAAACAAAAACTATTTAGATAAGTGCCAACTTGGTCGAAGAATTTAAATACAGGGCGCTCTCTCCGTGCGACTTTTAGTATAGTATTTATTACCCTCTTTCTCGCAAAATTTCAACGCCGCCTTCTTTTATCTTGATCAACAAACCCCAAAGAAAATAAAAAAGAAAAAAAAGTTCAAGCAAATTAAATGAAGATCCAATGCGACGTCTGTGAGAGAGACGAAGCCTCCGTATTTTGCGTCGCCGACGAGGCCGCCCTTTGCCCCGCCTGCGACCACCTCGTCCACCACGCCAACAAGCTCGCCGGAAAACACCAGCGCTACTCCCTCCACCAGCCCTCCTCTAAACAAGCCCCTCTCTGTGACGTCTGCCAGGTTTCATCACTCAAGATTCAATTTTTAATTCATCTCTGCTCATTCCACATTTTTCTCAATNTTTGGGTGGAATTTATGCAGGATAGAAGGGCTTTTTTGTTTTGCCAGCAAGACAGGGCTGTTCTGTGCCGAGAGTGCGATTTACATATACACAAAGCTAACGAACACACGCGAAAACACACCAGATTTCTCCTCACCGGAGTGAAACTCTCTCCGGCCGCGGCCCTTTATTCAAGCTCACAATCTTCGTCGGAATCACGGCCTCCGGATGTTGTTCCTAGTATCGACTCGGAAGAAAAAATGGTCGGTACAACCTACTATTCGAAAAGTACAACAGCTCAGAGCGCCGGTGTAGCTGCACCAGCACCACTGAATAATTTGGTTCCGGCGAGTGCCTTATCGGAATATTTGGGGGAAATGCTGCCTGGATGGCGCGTTGAGGATTTTCTTGATTCCTCTGATCAGTTCCCTTATGGTTACTGTAAGGTTTGAAGCTATTGGACCTATGTGCTTTTTTTGTGTTAACAATTGCATAAAAATCCCACCTTGCTTT